TGGGCCCTCTGCCCCTGTCTTTGCGAAGGAGTCGATTGGCTCCGTCTCGTCTGTCACTTGCTGCTGCTGCTGCAGTTGCTGCTGCTGCTGCAGCTGCCGCTGCTGCTGCGCGTTGACGTCCCATGGGTGTAACATATTTCCGCTGGTTTGTCTCGAGGGCGCCATGGGTATGAGTGGAACTGCTGCTTGCTGCTGCTGCTGCTGCTGCTGCTGCTGCTGCTGCGGCTGCTGCGGCTGCTGCGGCTGCTGTTGCTGCTGCTGCTGCTGCTGCTGCTGCTCTTCGCGCTGCCGCTGCAGCGGGTGTTGGGGGCAGTTTGCTTTTTTTATTTTTGTGTTTTGTCGCTGCTGCTGCGGCCGCCCGTATTGTGCTGCTGCAGAGAAGGACTTCAGCAGGGGCCCCTGCTGCTGCTGCTGCTGCTGCTGCTGCTGCTGCTGCTGCTGCTGCTGCAGTTGCTGCAGTTGCTGCTGCAGCAGTTGTTGCTGCTGCTGGCGTTGAACGAACTGTGCGCTGTTGGCTCTATCGAGCAGCGGCCGCGGGGGCCCCTGGGGGGGCCCCTGGGGGGCCCCCTGGGGGCCCCCTGGGGGGCCCCCCTCAGGGGGCCCCTCGCTAGGGGTACTAGAGAGGGCCCCCATGCCCCCTGGCTGTGTAAGAGAAGGATGATAAGGCATTCCAGCAGCTTTCGGGTACTGCTGCTGCCACCTGCTGCTGCTGCTGCTGCTGCTGCTGCTGCTGCTGCTGCGCTTGAGGTAGCGCCTGAGGCCCTCCAGGGAGCCGTAGGGGCTTTGCTTTAGGGGGGGGCGAGAGGGGGGGGGGGGGGGCCCCCCTGAGGGTACTAGGGGCCCCCAGGGGTCCTGGGGGCCCTGGGGCCCCTGGGGCCCCTGGGGGCCCTGGGGGCCCTGGGGGCCCCCCTTGATGAGTGCTGCTGTCTTTCTGGTTACTTGCTGCAGCAGCTCTTCTATTGCTTTGCTGCTGCCAAAGGGAAACCTCGGATCCTCATCTGCTGCTGCTGCTGCTGCTGCTGCTCCGTCTGCTGCAGCAGCTGCAGCAGCAGCAGCAGCAGCTACAGCAGCCATAGAAGCAGAACGAGACTCACCAAAACTGCTACTGCTGCTGCTGCTGCTGCTGCTGCTGCTGCTGCTGCTGCTGCTGCTGCGGGTTGAAGGAGTAAGCAGCAGCGAAGAGCTCGCGGGCCTCTCTGCAATGCCTCGGCCGCTAACAACACTGAATGTGTGGGGTCTGGGATCGTCGATCCCCAGCCTGCTGCTGCTGCTGCTGCGGGCAACGGGGCCCTGCTGCAGCCGCTCTTTTCTATGGGGTGGGGGCCCCCATAGAGAGGCCCTTCCTGCTGCAGCAGTTGCTGCTGCTGCTGCACCACCAGCACCAGCACCAACCCCACCAGCAGCAGCAGCAGCAGCAGCTGCTGCTGCTGCTGCTGGTCGGGGGGCCCCAGCAGGGGCCCCTGCAGCAGGCATAAAGCGGGGCTGGGGGAGCGCCTGCTGCCGCCTTGGGGGCCCCAGCAGCAGCTCGTCAGGTATACCCTGCATCAGCATGCGTTGGCTGCAGTCTTCGCGGCCTAGCAGAGCAGCAGCAGGGGGCCCCCTGTCGCTGTCGGGGCCCCCAGCAGGGGGCCCCCTGGTGTAAGGGGTACCCTTGGGGGGCCCCTAGTGAGAGGCAAAGACCTAGACTTTGCTGCTGGCTTGGGGGCCCCCGATGGTGCAGGCAGCTGCAGCAGCGGGGGGCCCCCCGGGGGGAAGGGGCGCAGCAAGAAGGTTTCGTGTTCCTTCAGCAGCTGCTGCAGCAACCCCATTCCCTGCTTGCGTTCTAGGCTG